TACCGTAGAGAAGCGGTAAAAGAAGCTACGCGAGGATATCCACAAGTGTTGCGTCATCCACGAGTGCGAGTTACAATTCGAGCGAGTACCATAGAAGCTGTGAGAATGGGGAACGACTCTGACAAAAACATCGACTCTTTGAAAATAGAGGAACTCAAAGAGGAATTGCGAAAGCTAGGTTTGAGAGTGAGTGGCAGTAAAGCTGAGTTGCAAGATCGTTTGAAAATAGCCCGTCAACAAATAAAAGCCGATGGCAAGGACGTCAATGACGAAGACGATGATGAAGACGACGAGGACGACCATGAGGATGTTGTCGATGGCGGAAACGAAGACGAAGAAGATGACGGCGCAGGCGCACGAGCAGCAAGAAGAGCGACGGCTGTCCATGCCTTGCAGCCTTTGTCTTTTAAAGATATCGAAGACTCTATGCATACATTCAGCGGAGACGGTAAACAAAATATCCGTAAGTGGCTTGAGGAATTTGAAGAAACTGCTGAAGTTTGTAGATGGGGAGAGTCACAGAAAATTATCTACGCGAAAAAACTGTTGCGAGGTTCAGCAAAATTATTCGTCACGTACGAGCAGTGTGCTAAATCTTGGAAGAAGTTGAAGAAAGCCTTAATCTCAGAGTTCGGAGAGATAGTTAACAGCAAGCGCGTTCATCAAGAATTGTCTCGTGCAAGGAAGAAAAGCGACGAGTCATTCCAAGAATACATGTATCGTATATTGGAAATTGCGAGTCATGCAGATATAGAACTGGAAGCTAAAATTCATTATATCATCGATGGAATTCAAGACGATGCGTTCAACAAAAGTATTCTATATAGTGCGAGTACCATAAAGGAACTTCGAGCTAAATTCCTGCAATACGAACACATGAAAAGCAATTCGACGCAAAACAGAAAGGCATCACACCAAACGCAGAAATTTCATCAGGCGGCCAAAGCAGAGAAGGAGGCAGGCGAAACGTCAGACAAGAGTCAGGCGAAAAGTAAACAAGAGAAAAGGTGCTACAACTGCGGCGGAAAAAATCACATTGGTACGGATTGTCCCCTCAAGGAGAAGGGAACCAAATGTTTCCAGTGCGGCCAATTTGGACATATTGCGGCGAAATGTAGTAAGAAAGACAATAATATTAATACGTGTAATACGATGAATCAACGAGATAATCGAGTGTATAAAACAGTCGCAATTAAAGATAAAGAAATAATAGCATTGTTCGATACCGGTAGTGATTTGCATTTGATGACCGCGAAACAATACATTAAGTTAGGTCTTCCGGTACTAACAGGTCCCGAAATAATGTGTAAAGGCATTGGATCTAATACGGTAACGACGCTAGGAAGTTTCGTAAGCAAAGTATTGATTGACGACGGTAAATATGAACTTGTCATACACGTAGTATCCGATAATTGCATTAGTCACGACTTAATTTTAGGATCGGATCTTTTAAAGCATGCAACGATAAAATTAGACGGTTTAACAGTTTCTGTAATAAAGCGAGAAAATGAAGTGTTAAATGTTTTTAATGATGTTCCCGAGATATTTCGCATTGAGACCATTGAGGATAAACGTGATAACAATGAGGGACATCGAGTAAATGTCGATAACATAAATGACAATGAATTAAAGTCCCAAATCGAAGATACTGTTGATAAATATATTCCGAACGCGACTAAACAGGTAGGAATTAAATTAGATTTAATTTTGAAAGACGATATACCTATATACGAACGACCGCGTAGACTCGCGCCGAAAGATAAAGAGTTTGTAAATAAACACATACACGAATGGCTACAAACAGGAGTTGTAAAAACGAGTACATCCGATTATGCAAGTCCAGTAGTATTGGTAAAAAAGAAAGATGGCGGCACGCGTCTTTGTATAGATTACCCTAAGCTCAATAAAAAAATCATTAAAGACAGGTATCCGTTACCACTAATTGATGAT